TTTTAAACTTTTAAATTAAACAAAATTATAGGTCCTTGAACCTTGAACACGCCAACCCATGAATGAATGGGGAATTTTAAAAAATGCACAAACCCGAAGCAATTATAACGGACACCATATTAACATCAAAATAATATGGGGGAAAGAATAGCATAATAGAAGTGGGACGGTGGGGACAGGAGCTTACTCGGGCGGAAACGCAGCCAGCCAGGGCCATGGGAACGGTGTACATCATGCTAGTGGTCTGAATCAAGATCCCAGTGGCGGCCACAGCCAGAGTGGGATTCGGCAGGTACCCAGCCATGACAGTCACTATCTCGTACCACCACCACTCCAGGCAGATCCCTAGACAGCTGGGCACTGCCAACCTCAAAAGTGGACCTAACCCACCACTACCACACACCTTCCCAATCCCAGCCATCCATCTCATCTCCCACCGTCCACTTATCCAAACATACCCAACCATTAGCACCACCATGTTCATGTTTGTCACCACAGATGCCATTGCCACGCCGGGAACTCCCAGCCTCATCACCATCACAAACAAATAGTTGAGTGGCACGTGGAAGCCCACCGCCACAAGAGAGCACCACATCATCGGCTTCGTCACCTTCTGTGACCGCAGGAACACCCTCAGCGGTTGCAACAAGGTGTTTGTTAAAAGGTCTGGGAGAGAGTACATGCAATATGTCGCTGCCATGGCCGTGATATCTTTGTCCTGTCTCATAAACAACATAATGCCTTCAAGATTGATCCACAAAACGCCGATGGGTATGATTGCCAGGAAAAGTATGAAAATCATGCGGAGAAGAGAGAGTGAGAGGAGGTCCCAGTTCCTGCTGCCATAGGCCTGACTACAAACAGGTTCGAGCCCAGAGGCAAGACCCACTAGAACTGAGTACCCAGTGATGTTGGTGAAGCCGATGGAGAGCGCACCACCGGCTAGCTCTAAACTCCCGAGTCTGCCCAAGAACAAAACTGACACCACTTGTCTAACAAAGACCAGCCAGTTCATAGCTGTAATGGGTAACGCCATGCCCCATAGCTCTTTTAACTCCTCAATAACCTGCACTACAAAAACCAAGCTAAGTAACAATCCTATAACAAAAAAAAAAAAGAAAAAGAAATAGAAAGTTAAGCTATGTGAGATTACCTGAGAAGCAGAGGGGAATTTGTGGGAAGAGAAATCTGGGTCTCTATCTGCCATAGAAATAGCTTGAAGAAAAGGTTATCTATAACAGAAACCAGTGAATAAAAAGGAAACAAAATCACAAATACTTAAGCAGTGATGCAAGAAGGAAATACCCAGGTTCTGTTTTGGATGAAACTCTTACATTTTGGTAGTCATTTGGAAAGAGGTGAAATTACCCTATAAGAATCAAAGAAGTGAAAGAAAAAGAAAACCCACTTGAATGGGTTTCAAGATGTTTATAGAGAAGGATTTGAGGAAAAGAGAGTGGTTTGGAGCTGGAGTTGTTTGCCTCTGTGAAGCTATCTTCAAATGAAGAGCACAAAGTAAGTGCTGAGGAATTTATAGAAAGTGGGAAGAGATGTTGCCAGTGGCGGCTACCGAGGCAGAGGAAGAGGGAAGAAAGGAAACGGTTGATTTAGGCGTGTTTGGTATATTAATTAAAGTTCAGCTGGGTTTTTTTTTTTTTTTTTTCTGATAAGGGCACTTGTTAGAAATTAGTACGTTAGATGTTAGTATGTTAGAGGTGTTAGTAGGAGTATTGAATTCAAAACATCAGAGTGCAAGCCACGGGCTGCTCTTTGAGACAGCAAGTGACCACTGGATCACGGCACGTGGAATGCAAGTTCAGTTGGTTCCGGTGACTGATGGTTAGTGGATAATAAGTGATAAATAATATATATGGTATTGATTGATATGATGGTTAATTGATAATAGGTGATAAACAGTAAATATAATGGATTTAAATTAATATAATTATTTAGTTATATGATGATTATTAGTTATTATTTAATTAATAAAGATATATTTAAAAATAATTAAATATATATT